TCTCATTTTGCATCGGGTTTGTAGTTTTCAAAAAAAAGACAATGGAATTACATCGATGAACAAGCCCCACGGCCGCGCACCTGGCCAATTACAGACGTCGCAGCGAGCCGCGTCAATCTTGGGGGTTGTCGCTACAGTACAGCGCCGTCGGGGTCATCCATGGATGGATTGCCTCCTCATGCTGTTTGAGCTCGGGGAAGCGAGAAATTATCGGCGAGCCTGTACTTGTCAGCTCGGCGAAGAATACGTCATCGGTGAGCTATGTTTCAAATGTCATAACCGCTCCGCCAGGATGTATGATTCTTGTCTAGCTGGCACAGATAAAAGAAGCTCAATGTTTACATCCTGACTGAAGCGGGCACAGGCCGTATCAGCTTGGTGTGGAGCGTTCATCCTCAGCGAGCTATGTAGTGTAAACCATGTCAGATTGCGGAGGAGACATGCCCCCCCCCCCCCCCCCGCTTGGAAAACACTGCCAACTGGAAAAGGTGAGACATCCCCGGTGAGCTGGTATGGGCATGGCTCACACTACCTCGGCGAAGAGGGAATCTCACCGGTGGATTGGTACGGCTAGTACCGGCTCGCCGGGGAGTGACTCTCATCCCGCCGAGGGCCTAGCCTGTACCGGCTCGGCCAAGAGGTCGCGCCACCCGCCGTCGACGTCTATATTTGCCATTGGGGACGTACGCGCCGGTATGGCCAATTGCTTGAAATCGTTTAACTGGTTCCCATATCCAAGTTGAAAACTGCTTGTCAAGAGCAATATTTCGCTGGCTAATGGAAACCCCTGGAGGTTTCATCAACAAGATTGTTATTGGTCGATCAGATTCAGAGCACAACTCAACGTGAAGAGTAACAGACGAGAAATGGAATAAAAAGAGAACGAAAAGAGAAGTACAAAGATGAGACGAAGAACAGGAGCATGACCTGGAGAATTTATTTCAGTACGTGACAAAAAGAAACAGAATTTTGATATCAATCAGGAAGGAATTGCACCTGAATCCTGAGGTGGTATCCACAAGAAGCCAAAGAACGAGGAACAGATGAAAAACAGGAACAGACAAAACAAGCTGACAGATGAAACTAACTTCGAAGTATAACTTATATGATACCTCTACAAACTCCTAAGAACAGTTGCAGTGCACCCGACGACGATATCATAATACTTGAATGTAAACCTAAGCTACAATCTCATGCGAAAAAGAAACCTGCAGAAGAAATAACAAAGCAAACTCCCCCAAATTTGAGAAAAACACAACTAGAGTGGATCGGCGGATTTCAAATCCTATCCACCTGTTTAGTAAAACGATTCATCGAGGAAAACCCCCTGAGTTAAGCAATACATGATCAAGTCCAAGCTTCCAGTACCACCGCGGATTCGACAATCGAGATCTCTGAGTGAGGGCCATTTTTCGAGCGATTTGAACAGGGTTTGAGCACGAATGTTTGGAGAGTCGATCACAACTCTTCTCAACTTTGGCGAATCGTGGAAAAATTTGAGAAGGTGTTCGCCCATGTTGACTCCGACAAGCTTGAGCGACCTGAGTTTCTTGAATGTGATGGTGTTTTGGCGTTGTAAGATTTCCCAGAGGTATCCGGGGGAGTTTGTTTGGATTTGTTCTATCTCAGAGATCCCGATCGTCGACACTTCCATCGCCCTCAAGGAAAGGTTAAAATTCTTCGAGAGTCGTTGGAGTGAAAGGCTCGAAAGATTCGGGCATCTTAGCAGGACTATTTCCGCCAATGGTGACTGCCAAGCCATTTCACTCCACGTATGATCGACGCACAACGAGTCGTACATCTTAAGGCTCTTCAGGCACTTCAAATTTGAAAGAAAACCAACAAGTGTCGACGTCGGTGGCTCCTGAGATTGGTCGCCCGTTTCTCCTTCTTGCCTAGTCACGATGCCTCCAAGAGTTTCTGGATGTGGCACGGTCTCTTCATATCCGATGTTGTCGGCCGAGAACGAGGTGAGGACTTTCATATTGACGACGGTTTGAACTAGCAAGTTTTGCGGAAGAGAGAGCGAGATCGGGGAGGCGATGTGGAACTTCTTCACATTTTTCAAGCGAGACAAATTCAACAATGGACGTGCAGTGAGTGGGTGCGAGCAGGTGGGTACGTATCCGTCTAGCATTCTTCCGACCAAGACTAGTTCTAGCTCCAGAGTATCGATATTTACTGGATTACTTTCCCGCAGGACTTTTTCGATCTGAAAAAAACGCTCGAATTCAGAAGGTTCCTTGGCTTCCATCACGGTGACCTCTCGGAACGGTTGCTGAACTATCATCACCTCGGTCTTGATCTCTCGGACGAAGGTTTGGATGTATTTCTTGGTGAGTGTTTCGAAGCCATGGAAGGCACTCAGTGCCGCCGTTGGAATCATCCGGAGGTCAAGAACCTGCGGTTGAATGCCATCCCACCGTCGAGCCAGTCTCATTAGTTCCACAGTAGCCGGGAATGTTGGAGCCAAGAACTTGATCCGCGTGCTTACCTTCCATAAAATTGGCCGACAAAGTCCAAAGAACGCCCTATCCAATTGACTGATTGCTCTGATACAACTGCCTGAATTACGGCAGATCGTAGTTAGCCATCACTCATACTGCACTCTCCCATCTTCTTCTGCGAGATATATCATAGGTGCGACGTACCTCTAGGGGCAACCCCATTCGAAAACAGTTCATAGCTAATCTTTTCATCCCCTGGCACTCTTGATAAGAAGAGTGTCTATTTGGGCAGCCCATTCGACTATCATACCCTTCAGTTCGAGTGGGAGTTCAGATAACCCTACCATGATATACGATATCTCTACCTTCCAGAAAAGAGTACGAAATTTGAGTAGTATGATCAGCCCTCTAGAAAAGCTGAGACCGATACGCCAAACAAACAGCTACAGCAGAAGTTGTAATATCGTACAGAGCTAATGCGGATACAGGTATATTTGCGAAATATCCCGGAAAGCCAATCAGCCGTTTGCGAAATTTTTCCAATCGACAAAGTTTATTGAGGCCTGCTGAGCTGGTACGATATCGCAAGAGATACAAGTTTTCTCGCTTGGCTCGGCTGATGATTAGAAACGTGTTTAAATTGATGTGTTCCTGCCGCTGACTGCTGACTGGCTTGGCTGCTGAGCAGGTAGAGTTTGATCTACAAAGATCCCTTCTTTCCGGGCTCAGTTGCTGCACTAACCACCCGGGCCTTCCGTAAGACTAGTCTCGACGACTATAGCTTGGGTTGTCGGAGAGACACCACCTCGGAAATCAGGAGTCTACCAGTACCAGCGGACGGAGTGAATCCCTCAGCTTGGTGGCCTCCACTGGTAGGGTGAGCGGAATGTTTCATAAGGATGTGGAACTGCGCTCCATCTTTCGGCCGAAAGAGTGATCTTCGTCGACACGAGCCCCCAAGGTGTGGCAAACCAATCGTGGTGAATTGAATGGCGATCATTTGAATTCTTTGAGCCCAAGGTTCGTGAGACTAAGAAAGAACTTACCCCTCCTACTGAAGACCCATGTCTGTAGTGAGGGAGGATATCAAACATAACGATGGCTTGGCATGAATCTTTACTGAAGTTGATATGGATGCCATGACTTGCCATCATGCATGGCGGTTCTTCCATCTCAAGTTTTGTCAATGAAACAATTCAACGGGTCGGTGTTATGGACCAGCTTATGGCTCTTGAGTCATAACACCGATGATGGCCCTAGTTCTTCTAACATATGGCTTGTCGCCCTCCCCATGTATCACATTCAATAGTTTCCACGGCACGGAAAACGCCGATCTGGAAAACGTAAACGACAATCAATTCTTCTCGACCTGAACTGACCTGAACTTGACTATAGGTTGATGTCTTGCTTCTTTTGGCTCAGCACACTCTCCCAGTTTGTGCACGTCGCGATGGAAGAGTAGTTGGCTTCTAGTTCTGGCGGCAATACCATCCCACGCGGGCATGAGTCTCACTGGCACCGAGTCACTTTCGGTCGGCGCTACGCGAGCAGCTCCAGATCTTGCAGAAGCAAGCAACGGAACGGTTCGGAACCAGCCGGGACTTGTTTAAGTTCGCGTTGGGCCTCATCGAGTATTAGATCTATATTTGGACTGTTGGCACTTTTTTTAGTTTAAAAATTGAAGTTCTATGGTACATACATACAGTTCTATGTAGCATCTTTTAGGGCCACAAAAGGCCATAAGGTTCCAGTTCTGAGCACCAGTGGCTCTGAGCCTATGAGCATTCTACGTAGTATAATGTGTAGTATTGATGTTGAGATATTCACGCCTTTGTGCCTTCTTTTGCAAGTTTCCGCGAGCTTAGGATGGAGAGTTTGGGGTTTTCCAACCCGGTAAGCATTTTCACAGCACTGGTACAACTTGAGGCGGCCTTTTTACTCAGCTGATTGCTGAACTTAACAGAGCCTCTTGAACGGGGAGTCCCGAAAAGAAAGGCCGCCAGCGCCAGTGTTGTGAGGCTCCTACTTGGGAGGGGGGTCTGTTAGGGTAAACATAATCCAGTGAGACTTGGAACCAAAGATATGTAAATATCCCAATCAACTGACGCTTGATAACCTCTGCGCAGTCAGTTGTGCCAACGCAAGAACCTAGACGAGAGAATGAGCGCATCTGCATCGGGGGCTCAGGTAGCCTTTTTGCGTTGCTGAACTTGCTGCTAGGGAGAGGGTGCGGCTGGTCGGTAAACGAGACTTGAGGGATTTCAACAGCCAAAAAGGATCTCTTGAAATCGGTATGCAAAAGTGATGCAGAACAGGGCAGAGAGAGAACAAAAAAAATCAGAAAATGTTTTCTTTCGGTAGGCGTGCTCCTATGATTCCTCTCATGATGTTGCACCGCTTATTCACAGCCTCAAAAAAGGAAAAAGATAAATAAAAACAAAACAAAGGCTGCAAGTTTCCATATGTAAAAAGAAGGGAAAAAAGAGAAACAGGGAAGAGGAGATGAAAAGAAAAGAAAAGGACAAGTTGAAGGTCTGATTTGAGATGGAAATATAAAGTTGATTTGTGTTTTAAGCGTTTTTGTGGGCAATTCGCGCAATGCTAAGCATCATACCTCCATAGCCCATAGTTCTTCGGTGTCGTTTGCCATAATCTGATGGTACCTAAGTTATCAAATCACACGGAAGTGTCAAAAAAAGAACAGAAGGGTAGAAGAGAGGAAATTTAAAGGCGCGTTTTTTTTTTAAAAAAAAAAATAGAGTCAACAACGCAGCTTACCATCTTCAGAGCCTGAAGCATATAGCTCTCCATCAGGTGAAAAAGCAATAGAATGTACTGGACCATGATGACCTACGAAATTGTTAACAAAAAGAACCCCTCAGCATGTTGTCCAATGGACTTGTTGAGTGTTTTCTAGACAGGATAAGTGGAGCGATGTAGCTAATGATGCCTAAGAGTGGCGAAAGAGAACCAACCTTTATTTTCTTCTTTCATTTCACCTGAGATTGCATCATAGACTCGAACCCAGCCATCGTTGGAGCTTCCAGTAACAAATCGATCGCGAGTCCGAGGGGCGAGAGAGCAAGAGGAAACGGGATAAGTGAGGACGTGTTGGAAGATGATCTCTCGAGTGTCGGTATCCAAGAACATGGCCTTCTTGCCCGATCCTACGGAGAGCCAGTCGCTTCCAAAGCTCCGTTCGACGCTCAACAAGCCATCTGGAAACTCCAACTCGGAGACAAAGCTACCCGAGCTGCCTCCACCCTGCCGTGCATCCCACCAACGTATCCGCTTATCGTCCCCAGCACTGATGATCAATCGGTGGGGCTCATCCCAAATCACACTCTTGATCATCCCCTCGTGTGCTGTCGTCGAGCCAGGCGCAATGAATTCATCTGGCTGCTCCTCCGGTCGTGAAAGGTCGTAACGTCGTAGCTTCTTCTCCATCCCTCCCGTGAAGATATGTGAACCACTCGGACTGATGTCAACTGCCCTGACGATGTGATCGTGCTGGAATGTGTGTACTACATCGCCGCTGAACGTATCCCATACCTTGCTGAGAGAGAATGTCGTTTTGTTTAGATTTATGAATTGATATGATATAATGATTTTCGATGGATTGAATGACCAGTCAAAATGTTGAGGCTTACGCAGAGAAGTCTGCCGATCCGGTTACTGCTAGACTCGCGTCTTGATTCAATTTCGCCGACCAAACGGCACCCTTGTGACCTTTGAGGGAAAGGAAAAAAAAAAAAAATTGATACCAAGGAAAAAAGAATAAATTTCATGAGATTAGCCTGGATGAAATTGTGAGAATCGATTGATAGAGGAAGAAGGAAAGAAAAGAAAAGCTTGATCCGCTTACCCAGAAACGTTCCAATCCAATCACCCATCCAGTCTCGTAACATAGGTTTACCATCTTTGCAAGCAGAAATAATCATGTATTGTCCATCCGGCTGGAGACTCGAGAATGATATCGATGGGATCGGTCGTGTGTGTCCTGAGCAAACCAGACTTCATCCCCACCAAAATCATCCGCCCCCCCAAAAGAAAGGAAACCCACCAACCAAACAAAAACACGAGTCAATAAGTCATTAAACATTCCTGGTGATCGAAAAAGCGCTGGATTGGATGGGGGCACATCTGATCATAAGCTCAAACACTTACGGGGTAGACTGCGATAATTTTGCAATTAAGTGAAAGAGAACACATCATTAGTGCTCGTTGATCAATTTTCAAACCTGACTCCAGAGTCAACAGATTGACATCACTTACCTTAGGAACCTGAGTCCGTGTTGTTGAAGCCATGGTGTATGAGAGGGGAGTGAGTACAGAGGATCAAACTCCAAAGGCTCAAACAAACTTAAAGTGTACAACTGCTATGTGTAGTGCTCGAGTTGGCTCTTGTTGAATGTCTTGGGATTATTTAGTAGAAGTTCAGTGGTTTAGCCGTTTGCCAGCCTGATCGACCATCCGCCTGCCCGATGCGTCAGAACTGATCTGGGCCTTCACCACATTATCCGCACCCGCAATTCACCCGATCCGGCGATGCCTCGCGGAGTCTGCCTATCTAGTTCGCCCGCCATAGCCTCAATGTCACAGAAATTGATGTGACATGTCCCTATAAACACAGCAATCCACCAAGTCGATAATCGATCACAAAAAAAACTCCATCAAATGTACACCATCCCCCAATGATTCAGGCCAGGTCATCCAGCAACTGCGCATCTAGAAAAAATGAGATCACCTTCTTGTTCACATGCATTGCCGTATACATTGCAGTACACCTAAAATTTCTGTCAGAATGCTTTCAGTTCATTTCCCTGGTATTGCAGCTCACACAGGTAGGCTTTTCCCACTTGCTCTTAGAGCTAGCGAAGAAACATCTGAAGGGCTGTGTTTATTGCCGGACGAGATTGTAGGCACCACCATTCGTTCCCTCGGCCCCCAAAACTGACACTCATCAAGGCCATGGCTATGGGCTCAGGTCTATCCAACCAGAGCAATGTTGAGTCGAGTTCCAGTTTTTTATGAATCGGTTTGTGAATCTGCCTTGATCGCAGACATTGGTTTTGTAAACACAGCTTTGGGGTTTTAATCAGCACTAATATTTTGTATCACAGCCCCTATGAACGGCCACATGGTGTAAGATGTGTGGTCATTGATCACCGTGGTAACTGGTAATCGTAATTCATCTTTCTTCCGCATACATTGACCACTCCCTTGAGTATTTTAGAGTTATTTTATATGAAGAAAGAATATCATCCAAGAAATGATACTAGTGAGCTGTGTGCAGTTTTTTGTTGGGCTCAGAAATTGTGACCATGAATTTGAGCCCTTTTCAAAGTTTTTTTTTTTCTTTTTTTCTACTAAAAAACAGCATGTTCTCCCATAGTTTTCTCCAGTGTTAATATGCTGTATATTTCCTCACCACTGGCTCAGTTTTTGTATCTGTAAATGTTGAGTACCAGTCAGCACATCATTTCCTATTGATGAATCTGCAAATTTTGAAGCTCCATAAAATTGTACATCCCCTATGAATGAACCTGAGATGATAAAATCTTTAAATAAAACTTTAACAAAATCATTCCAAGAAATATATGGCATTTTATCTGACCTACAAACCAAATGAATCCAAAGCAAATCCATTCATCTCACCAAGCAGCCTGCAAAAGGTGGTACAAGCCAGGAAAGAAGAATTGAATAGGGCCAAGCTGTTTCCCTTTAAATCACATAGAATGGAAATCAAAATTTGTTGTCCATGGCTATTCAACTATTTGATCAAGCTGTGGGGTATACAACAAGAAGAACTGATATGAGATTTTTGAAATCAATTCTTGGAAAGATGGAACCCATGGCAGTTAAAGAAGGAATAGCAACTGACCTGGTCCAAATCTTGAAGACACTCCCCAATAACCTTAACAACTTGTTTGACTTCATTAGGTCCAATTGTCAAAGGGGGAGTCAACCGGATGATATTTGAATTGGTTGGCTTGGCCAGAACACCTCGTGATTTCATCAACAGACAAAGCTCCCAAGCCCCCCTTTTCTTAGGAGATAGGCTTGGGTCAATCACAAGTGCATTCAATAAACCTTTGCCTCTGACAGTTTGTATATACCCTGTTGGGCTGGCTGCTGATGGTCGGATGGATTTCAATTCCTGCTTTGCCAATGTGAGCAGAAAAGTTTCTATTTTCAGCCAAACAGAAAGTCAACAGATTGAAATAAAACTGAAGATAACTGACTAATAAACCTCTTCTCATCAGTTTCCCCATTTCCTCGGCCCTCTCACACAAGTTTTCTTCAATCAATACATCCAAGGCAGCGATTGCCACAGCACAACCTAACGGGTTCCCTCCAAATGTAGAGCCATGTTCTCCAGGTTTGATGACTCCCATAATATGATCATCTGACAAAACCGCAGAAACTGGATAAAATCCACCGGACAAAGATTTACCTAAGGTCACAATGTCTGCTCGAACATTTGAATGCTCTTGACAAAGGCTGAAAGTAACCCAGTGTTGATTGGATTAGTTTCAATGGCCCCACATTATTTATGTGCTTGCTTCTTTCATCATTGGACGCTTATGAAAAATTCAAAAATAGGATGCGCCTTACAGTTTCCCTGTTCGACCAAGCCCAGTCTGCACCTCATCCATTATCAATAACACGTTGTGTGATTCACATGAGGCCTTTACTTTCTGAATGTAGTCGTCGTCCGGAACAATAATCCTAGGGTCGAAATGGTTAGAGTATCAATAAAGTGATTCTAATAGAATTTTTCAATCGTTGCCTTTGATCACTGCTTACCCAGCTTCGCCTTGAATAGGCTCGAGTAAAACTGCCGCTGTATTCTTTCCGTGCGCATTTAGTGCTCGCTCGATATCATTGAGGTCACTGTTCAATTGAATGCACACATATCAGCAATTGATCAAGATATCCTGGAGATGGCTATGGGAGCTCTCAGACTTGTATCTTAACGATCTTTGACCGGAGCTCGCTGGCGCATTGATTGGACAACTCGAGCCAATGCTCGTCAGAAATGGCCCAAATGAATTTCGGTAATCCGGATCAGTACTATGTGCAGCGGTAAGGGTGGAGCAATTTTGCGTAAGCTTTGGAAATCGCTTGTCCTTCCACTTCTGAGTGAGTAGCGACCTGATGATCACTGTACACCGTGTATAAATCATAACTGACCTCATACCCATGACACCCAAAGTTCGACCATGAAAATTTCCGCCAACGCTTAAGATTATGGCTTTGCCGTCTGGTACCCCCTCTTTGGAAATTGAAACAGCCGTGACAAAAGAAAACTTAGTTTTTAAGACCGTTTTCGCCAATTTATCAACTGAGAAAAGAATAATATTCACTTTTAACGTAAGCCCATTTTCGAGCCAACTTCAATGCAGTCTCAACCGCTTCGACCCCAGCATTCATAGGTAACGCTCTTTGATACCCAAAAGTCACACAAAGTTTCTCGAGAAATAGTCCTAATGATGAATTGTGGAAGGCTCTTGAGGAAAGTGTCAGACGACTCGATTGATCTACCAATGCTTTCAAGATCTTCGGATGGCAGTGGCCTTGATTAACGGCTGAGTGCGCGGAATGACAGTCAATGTATTCATTCCCTTCTGGATCCCATACTCTACATCCTTCTGCTCGATCAAAAACTACCGGGAGGGGATGATAGCTGTTGAGTATTTCAAAAGTGTTACGAGACAAGCATCCGCTCGGATTAGCTTAAGCCATAACAAATCGAGCATGGAAAAAGTAGGTACTAAGCTTAGCACTTAACTTATGAGCACCATACTGATGCTCCAGGTCGATTAGAGCTTGGCTGGTCAATTGGTTTCCATCTGAGGGCTTGCGGGGATTACTGAGCTCCATCATTCTTGTTTCTTGAAAGAGGTATACGACCGGCTTAATCCTTGGATCGAGGTCAAGTTGAATTTTCAGTCCAATCAGTTATGGACTGGTTGAATCGACTGGTTTGCTATCAGAGTCCATCATATTGTACTTCCAACATATCCCCGACGGGGACTTTGAAGCTTGCGTGAGACACTACGCAGTGCCCGAGTCCAATCGCAGTTGGCCTGCCCAGAAGATAACAACATGCACCCCCAAACAAGCTGGCTGGTTCTGAATTTCTACCATCTGCTATCACATCATATTCACACAACAAAGCTAACCAATCCAGTGGTAGGGAGGACATCCAGGATGGCATGCTCAGAATTGCGAGAGATGCCAAAAAGAGTCAAAGCTTAGAGAGCCATCCTGAAGAGAAGAAAGTGGATGATTGCTCAAGTTGTAGTTGTTATGATGCCAAAGAGAAATATGGCAGCCCTCTAAGCTCAATTCATAAATGGTGAACCAGAGTAGGGCTTTCAAGTAATCCTAGTTCCCAATTTGGTTTATCGTTATCTTGATTTTATTTATATCACTCACCAAAAACCGCCTGCGGAAGAATTTAATTCAACGTCAAAAATATATGATTTAGGCAGTGCTTTATTTTTGGGAAGATTGATTGTGGCTGGAAACAACTATTGGAAAAGAAAAAAAGAAAAAAATACTAGTTGAATTCTTTCTTATTCCCAATTTGAATTAGTGTATCATAGTCATGTTCATTTCCCCCTTGTTGTTCTAAGATCAAATTTTCAAACCAAAAAGCCAGTGTTTCCTGCCAAAAAAGGCAAATCAGCACACTAACTTTAAATCAAGAATCAGGAAAACCTACCTTGAGGATTTCCCAAGGAGAAGATTATACCAATGATTCAAGAAATCTGATAGCCTTTTCATTATTATCCAGTCTGTATGAAGCATATGATCTCCACATAGACCCTGATTTGAAGTCAAATTCCTCAGGGTATTGAAAATATTTGGCAAATTTCCAGAATATTGATTCTTCTTCTTTCACAATAATAGCATGGTGGCCAGCTGTTCTGAGTACCTTGTGCATCTTCTCTTCCATATCCATGTCACCCACAGACAATGCAAAATCATGTGCTCCTTTTTTGAGAACCATTGCAGGTATCAATCCCATGTTACTGTAAAATTTGTGTTGCAAGGCCAATTCAAACTTGTCTAGAGCTGGTCTCTGGATATCCGTTGCGGATATCCGCTATCCGCTGGCGGATATCCGCCAGTGCCGACGGATACCCGCCAGCGGATGTCCCCTTTCCCCTGAAATCCTGGCGGATATCCGGGTATCCCAGCGGATATCCGCCCATATAGGAGGGAAAAAAAGAAAAAGCAAAGAAAAAACAAAAGAAAAAATCAAATATAAAATAAAATAAAATAAGGGCCTTAATAAAAACCCAGTTTTTCCTGTGCCCAGCACACGCCGATTCCGCGTTTGGGTGTGTTTTTTAATCAATTTTTTACCACTTCTTTTTCATGTTTTTTTGAAATTTTGAATTTATTCCCTAGTTTTTAAAATGCATAGAACTTTGAGGTAATATTCAATTTCTTTAAAAATCAAAGGATCACTTTGAAAATTCCAATCAAACATATTTTTTCAATTAATTTCTTACAGCTTGTTTTGAAAAATAAGTGGTAAAAAATTAATTAAAAAAAGAAAAAAGAAAAAAAAAAATTGAAGGCTTTCAGGCTGCAAGGACTTCAAAATTGCTGTTTGTGCAGCTCCCCAAAATCTGAAATTTCCCAAGGAGCATTCATTTTGCACCCTAGAGGTCATTAAAGGGCCGGATTCCGCCGATATCCGCGCGGATACCCGCCAGCGCCAGCGGATACCCGCCAGCGAATGCGGATGCGGATGCGGATGTCTGATTTTGCTGAAAACGTGAGCGGATATCCGAATCCAAATGGATACCCTGATGC